AACACTAAATTTATTCACTTCTACTCTGCTGTTATGTATTTTAAAACAATACTATATTGTGTGTGCCTCTATTGGATTAACGGATTAACTGCTCCGACACTTCCCTGAGTGTACAGAAGTTAAAACCATCGGGACTGTATGACTATACGTTTTTATTACAACTGCTAACTAATATTAACGCTCGCTAGGCTATAATGTTCCCCTTACGAACTCATTATCACGTATATATATGTTTGAAGCAGCGAGAATCTTTGATGTTGTAAATCCTCAACACAACCTAGACGCAATGTGCGTCATAGATTGTACTATCACGAGGAAAAGCTTACAAATGATAGGATTGTACCGAGAAATGGAGTACAAAAGGTCATCGAGGTCAGATCATCATTTAAGTGGTCAATTAACCATTGGCTAAATGTCATTGTGCACGTGTGGCGGTGTATATATGAACAATGCGAACAAATGGTTTATGTCACAAGGAATAGCTGATAAATCTAATGTTTTCTCCACTAATCTGTGAGCGTTAATGTCGTTTGTTTGACTACACAAGTGTTTGTTGTTTACTTGAGATACATGTACACATGTGTGATAATATGAGCAGTATAATAGCTTTACAACAAACACAGCGTTTTATTTCCTGCTGCACTGAATTAGCGAAAATGTCTGTAGGATTTACGTGCGCATAGTTGAAATGGCCATTGAGAAGACCATTATTTTAACATTAAAAGCGCTCTGCTATTGATTCTACAGATTTCAAGGGATATGAATGGAAGATTTAAATATAAAAAAAATCCTCACTAATTAACCCGCATAACAGCATCTTTGTTAAACGATTTTGGATAGAAATGGTTATTTGTTCTATATGTGGGTCAGTTAAATCTAAAAGTGGCCTCAGTTTATTAGGAGGATTGTTGAAATTATGAAGCCTGAACGTCTGGTTCATTCACAAATTGCCTACTCGATCAGAAAGTAACATTGGCATTGGAGAATAAAAGATAATTTTCCGTGAACAGTACTGAAATGTATATCAAAATCTTAAATGGGTTTTCATTAACGTATGATTTGTTATGAACCGAGCATCTGCGAGTTTCAAAATTTTCAGCCAGAATTTGTACGATCTTGAGACTCTCTTTATCATATAATTAACAAAAATATACACCACTATTAAGTTTGCGATCAATTTAGCACGTGAACATCAAAGGAATTACATTTTTGCCTTTTATCAGTATTCTTTTGACACCAAATAGTAGCATTATTTTTTAGTCAAAATGGGGTGAGATGATATTTCCCCATAGTACATATAGCATCCTGCGTAATCGCGTTTTTTGGTTTATTTATATTTTTTGTTTTTCAGATGACCCCTGCACTGACCCAGACAACACCAATTGTGTAGCACCGCCATTTGTCTTAGCTAACTAATAATCTCACTTGAGTAGTAATTGGTAATTGCCTATATTATTTGCTTGCGCCATACCTGAGTATAACTGTGTCCATCTGGTAAAGATTACCTCCTGTCTTTTTTACGTCCCTGCCAACAACACTGATGGACTAATAGTCACTAATATCCCATTCTGCCTTGTACATGTATTCGGACCGCAGTTATCGTTGATCATGCTGTTTCCAAGAACCACATGCATATGATTTATTTCAATTACCAGCACTGACGTAGAGAGATAGCAGGTGCAAGTTTGTGTTCTTGCTGTTCGAGTCTGAATAGATGTAATCACACGATAAACTATATCACCAGGTTTTTAGCTTGGGGACTCTTTTTTACTGCCGCAAACCTCCATCCGGGTCTTTGCTAATAATTTATCAGGCATTTGTCTTTGTAAGGAATGTTGTAAAAAGGGGCTCTTATTGTATTGTTTGTTTGGGTGGGGTTTTTTTGTTCAAAACGAAACGTGAAATACAATTTATTTTATTTTATTTTAAAACATCGGATATTCATTTAAATGTCACAGATGTTTTGAAACTTTATGTACTATTTTCAAATATTGTGCCATGCACATGCATTTATAATTATTGTTTTCATGTTACAGAGGTAACGTTGATAGGAAATATTGCCATCCTTTTTGTTGAGGTATTTTTACAGAAAACTAATATCCACTAGTCTAGCAAAACAAATCATACCAGAAAGAACAATGGATCCTCATCCTTACATATTATGGACAGAGATTCAAATGGTATTTAAACGCACTGCTATATGTAAAAAGATCAAATTGTCACCTTTAAAATCAACATAAGCAAACTGGCTTGATCTTTGATCACATCGTTCTGAAGTTAGATCTTCGAAATCCAAAGATTATTTTCTGTAATCTTGTCATGTTAAAATCTAATGCTCACTGTTAACCACTTCGTACAGAGAGAAATGATTAATCGATTGCAAGGTTGATACCGGTCCTTTTACAAAGGAGCTTCACTAATCAAAAGCGATGATACCTTTTATTTTGTATCAACACTGGTATACATAATGCTGTAACATTTTTAGACAGGTCTATTGACGTATTGACAGCTGGTCATCTCACTTTCATCACTTCTGTTGAGATTTTCACCAAGATGCATCGAACTTAGGGATTTTGAAAAACAAGCACTTAATCTATTGCAATAACAAAGACGAACAAATTCCAAAAAATGATTTTATGTATTTAAACTGTAACGTTAACATGACAACCATTGCACAAACCATCACTATATATATATATATATTGCACATCTTACACTCTTAATTTGCATATTCACACCTTTTTAACTGGTTGAAATAGTTATATGTACAATATGTACATGGACAACCTTTGGAAGCTGAAAGACACTGTTTTATGCTCGGGTTCACAGGGACTTGAATGAAAAGCACCTTTAACTGAATATACGAAATGACATTATTTCCCTTATAATGTAAATACATTTCTACAATTACATGTGCAACTCTGTATTACCAAATATACTCTTCTATTCAAGTCCCTGTTTGGTAGTTCACACTTGTTAGCAGATTAATACACACATAGTTTACATATAATACATTACATGTATCAGCTGTGAATAATTTACTCGCACATACACTCACACCTTTTACTCATTGTTGAACACATTGTATAACCGATATTTCCTAACCCTAACATCTCCAGTCAGTCGTGATACGCTAGAACTATATGCAGCTCGTTTAGGCAGTGAAGGGAATACAATACTCTCACCCCAATGAGCATCAATTACATATTCCGTCTTTGCGTATTGCAGAGTTATCTTCTCTTGTGAGCACGTATTGATTGTAACGTCATTGGTTTGTGAGAGTAACATCATCAATTTTTGAGAAAACGATGTAATCTTCTCACACAAACCAACGACGTAAACAATCAATACCTGCTCACAAGAGAATATAACTCTGCAATACGCAAAGACGGAATAGGTGAATGTTGGCAAATATATGTGTATATGGAGGAGAAAAAATGAATATGTCAATAGTCTTTATTTGAAATAAATATTGTTTCATGAAGTAAAAGACAATTCTTTTAAATATTTTTCAACCAGTGTGTCCTACCATGTGTAATGTTGGGTATATTCACAAAAAAACACAGTGTTTGCTCCTTTAGCAGTCACCTCGTATAAACATTGCACAACAAACATTACTGTCAACAACTAGAAGACGGTAATATAGTTTAATATTAGATATGACACTTTTTCTGTCAAGAATCTGTTCCTATCAGAAAGAAATATACAGCTCTTGAACCATGTGTCACACCACTGTTATATGATCATAGTCTATGAATAGGGGCACTAACCTGGGCATAGCAAACGCTTAATACTTTTCCTTTTCATACCGAGGAGATAGTATTGCAATCGGGAAATATGTAAAACCTTTTTATGATAGTAAGTCCTTAAACTACCACACGACTGAAAATGATTTCGAGATCTACAGTGTAGTCGAAATATCGAAGTGAGTAATAACAGTTACATTCTTACGAAATATGTACATTGACGTAAGGATACTGAACCCAGTCTCCCTACCCCGAACGAATTGCTGCAACCTCTTTTGTTGCAATGATCATTGAATACTATTATAGAAAAGGGAATATGTTTATCTTATCATGAAAGTACATGGCAATTTAATATTTCTCTTAAACAAAATGCACTTGCACTTCTTAGAATCACGTATGAGTTTCACGTTGAGTGCATTTCGTTTGAAATCAAGCAGATGTACTGGAGTCGTATGCCTACACTTATCCTATGTTTTTGTTAGACATGTGGACTTTACCATTATAATGTATCCATAGACTTGTCAAAATATATCGCTGTTATCTGTTTTCATAGTAAAGTGCGGGTTTCCCTGCTAATGAATTATTCTTCGTAAAAGCTAGTTATGTGTTTTTTTTCCTTTTCGCAACACGCCCAAAAACTTCATTAAAGACATGCATTGTTATCTGCAGACAGACTTTTCAGTTTTTCCAATTTTGATAAGATTAAGGTGCAGATGTGGTTTTATGATGATAACAAGCTTAACGTTAACTGTTTTTGGGATTTAACGTTAATATAGTCCGACAGATTTGGACGACTAATTGTGATGAAGTACTTTCCTAACAAACATTGTCGGACTGTTGGTTAATATTCAAAATACACCAAGAGTGTGTACCATATAATATGGTATCATATATTTTAGATTTTGGATGAATTATTCAACTGGATTTTCAAACAACCGATGGTCCTTTGTTAACGGGCGTCATATCATCTGGGGCATATCCGAATTCCTCATTTAAATACAACTGCTTAATTGTACATGCGAGTACATGTTTTATTGATTGTAATAATGTTGCGTGTTGAAATAAGGCCCAATGCCTCACAATATACAAAGTTAGGGTGGTTAATCACCGTACGTCCTCGCACCGATGATATCTCCGCATATATTGTTGCAACTTTATTATGAGAAATGTGAGGATGGCTGAGTATCCAGTACTAGGACCCAGTCTCGTATCCCCTTTTTACACAGTTATAGTGACCTTGATTCACTGATTCACTTTGTCTGAGACATATTGTATTTAATTTCAATTTGTCAATTTCGTATGTGAGAGTCTCTTTCGATGGCAAAGTATCGCGTAGTGACAGGTACGTTCTGGAGTCATGGTCATTGGTTAACAGTGCGTCAGTTTGTCATATATCATTTATTCTGTTACCTACAAGTCATAGATGTTGTATTTGTGTACATCTGATGATCGAGGACTGTTGCATATTGAAATAGCATTCCCAACTCTACACAGAGCGATGGGCCTTTATTTACTGCGAAACAGCCAAAGTTTTCTCATCCCCAGACAAATTTTGACTTTCGCAATAGTTGGCCTAAATATTACAAGTGATAAATGGCAAATTCCTATTCAATCTGATTGCATTTTTCAATATCCAAACAACTTGTTGCATAAAATTAAGTTGTAGTTATACAAATTAATCAACTAATCTACAGTTGTAAGTGTTGGGTAAATATATTTATACATAATGATGTTTCTTGTGTAACATTATAAAAAGTAGTAAGTTCCAACAATGTAACACAATGTCAGATAGTGTTTTTGCTGTATAAAGGCAAGGCAACATCAGCACAATCAAACAGAAATGCTGTAGTACAATGAAACATGCATATATGCACTTACAATAACAAAGACAATGGGATCAAAAAGAAAACATAGCGATGGAAGTCCTTTAAATTGGAGATTTGCTATATGCAAATATAAATCTTATTATTGTTTTCATAACTGAGACATGTGAAATGGAATTAGAATAAATAGGATTAAAGTTTCTCTCATTTCCCTGTGTATAAAATAGAGATGTCCAGTGTAAGAAAGGGATGTAGGAAATTTCTATCTTACACCCCATTTCACGTGACGTGACGTCACAATGACTCAACGATGACTTGACGTCATGAATTTGGAACTCTCCAATGCAGCAATGCGGAAAAGGCGACGTGATGAAATTAAAACCTTTTATTATATATTTATCGTACATGTTAGAAAGATGTGATTATTTTTTTTCTGCGCAAACAGTGTCTGCAAATATGGGATATATGCTTAATCTGGCCGGCTAATTCGATTTCGTCCAAAACGCTCAGGGGGAAAATTGATATTTTTAAAATGGTGGCCAGTCCAAACGCATTTTCATGGTTTCTGAGCTTACTCTGGTGATTGGAATGAGAGAAAAATACTCTTTCATGCCCAATGGTGTAGGATAGGGAAATTACACCCGTTGAGATTTTCAAAATTGGCAAAATCCCGAGGCTTTACCAAATTTGCAAATTCCTCGGGTGGAATTTCCCTATCATACACCCCTAGGCATGAAAGAGTCTTATAATCTTCATATTGATATCGTTTAAGCACTTGTTTTATAAGCTATCTTATCACTTCCGATTAAAAGTTACATGTGCTTTCACAAACATGTATTGCTATCGTGAACACAAGCCATTGCACTCACATTCGTACTTTTGTCACGATCACTTTTTAAGCTGCTGCTCCTTCAATAAAAAATGTGTCTTCCTTTTTGATTGGGATTGGCAGAGATAGAGTAAAAGAAATAGAAACAATTTAGCAAACAATGAAACAGAGGTACAACATGTCAATAAGTACTAAAACAGATGCGAAATCGTTGGCAATGTAAAATTAAAAAAAAAACAAATCTGGGGTAAAATGAGGGGAATACAACTCTGGCCGCTTTAATGTCAATTAACTCAAATCGACATTAGGAATATAATATGTACGTGACTATTTACAAATAATAGTTTTCTGAAGATTCTTCCTCTCTCTGTTTTTCTCCTCACAAGATTGTTTTCTCTTAGGATGGCAGTGGTTTAGACGTAAACCTCAGGGAGAAAACTAAGTACGGTTCGATATATGAAAAGACTGCTTACTCGTCTCACCCCTCAAGAAATATGAGTATTATGGCACATGATGCAGCAATGATTTAGACTGACGTTTTGGAATTTAAAGCAGCATGTTATTTCTAAAGACTAATTAAAAGCATAAAGATAACGGGGAAGTCAGGATGATTTTAAATGTTAACTAATCATATAGATAACACTAATCACTATATGCATTGCTAATATGTATGGTCTTAATGATTCTGCAGGACTCTTATATAAAATATGTACTTGGATGAACTACATAATGACCAATATCCACAGCACTTCCACGTATACCATAGGCCAGATACAGATTTACAAATTGTGAAGGATCAGGGAATTCGAGAAAATGCATGTTAAATCCCATCCGTAAATAATTAAGATATAAATACTTAAAATATAACCAGAATCCTAATGTTCAAAGCCTGTTTAGCTTGATGAAAATTCAATACGCTGTCTTCATCAGAAAACTAGAGCATTATGGACTGGTATATTTTTCTGACATTAACTTGATTTATGAGGATGGAAATGAGTGAGGAGTTTTTCACACCATTGTAATGTGTGTTTCCACAAATATAAAATAATTGAGGGCTGATGTAAAACGAAAATAGATATATTTCTTTCATGTTGCTATTTGAGGAGGGTTTTGAAAAAAATCGAATGACAATTGATATCTAACTTTGAACAAATCACATCTTCGTTTTCACATAAAGTGTTAACAGAATTACATGACTGAGCAGCTATGTCATATCAATAGCATTCTCTATTTATGAAAGTCACATCATTCTGTGGTCACTACCTTCTCTGTTGCATGCGAGTCGACTATTTTAATTATAAATTATAATACATTGAAAAAGAAACTCCTTGCTTTAGTGATAGGTTATTCAATTCATATCCATACTTTAAAATGATCAAACAGGTAAAAACAGAAACACAAATCGTTTGTAAAAGCGGAACATGTATCTTAAAGTATGTGAACTATTTGATGAGTGATAACCAGAGGAACACTTACCACATATAATTCATGAACAGAACGTTTGCATTGACGGCATAGAGAACCATTAGTCATATATATTACAAATGCACATGATAAAAACACCTGTTTGACCATGACTTATTGCACTCTTCCACATTTAGTATCTTCTATTATAATGGAAACGAACGGCAAACCACTTTAGACGAGTTCCACGATTTGCCTTTTTTTAAATCGTTTGATCCATCTACCAATCAAAGTTTTTTGAGTTAACACGTGCCATCGACAGTCATCGCTTGGCTTGATATCTTTGATTGACTACTTGGTAAATTTCTTTGCTTTTCTTATGATCCACTTATGGTTGCATACCAACCTATTGCTACTTTTCTAAATTACTATATATATGGAGCAGTGATTTCCTTCGTCAGACAGTTTCAAACGTACAATGTACAAGTACGAAACAAAGATTTCTCTTCTATCGGGTGCTTTGCCATCGCAGCATTATCGAAGGGGAATTTCATAAGAAAACACTTTAATAGTCTTCCTATGCATGATTCGTATAGAACATCGTAGGTTTGCATCAAATGTTGAACATAAGATATCAAATGATGCCTATTTTCCCTCCAAGCCATCGACACTTGGCCTTCACATCTTCTTGAACTAAGTTGAAACACATAGCAATAAGCGAGAGTCCAAACACAAGGTACATCGCGCACAGGACGAGTTTCTGTTCATTCGCCCACTGGTCCATAGCAGTCCCTGGGACTACGTCACCGAAACCAATGGTACTTAGAGTAATAAAGGAAAAGTAAGTTCCGGTAATGACATCCCAACCTTCCCAAATTGAGAAAAGAAGTGTCCCTAGCAATATGTACGCTGTCATTACTAGTATACATAATGATGTAGGCACATGGATTGTTTCCCCTGGTGATTTCTCCTCTCCTTGGACAACCATTTCTTCCTCGATGCCTTTTTCTGGATCTGGTAGTCGACGTTTTGTTGGACTGAACAACACACAGCACACACCACAGCAAACTTTAGCATAAAGCATTCGGAACCCTGTGGCCATTAGGTCACCTATGTTTGTTAGGCACAATAACGTTAGAGGTATTCCAAGCACAGCGTAACCAATGGTAACAATCCTACCATAATCCGTCTTCGGAGCCACGTGACCATAACCTGTAAAAATCATAAACATTGTTATAAAATTTAAGTATACTCTAATATATTGATACGTATTCAAAACTGTATTCGATGAGTATGGTCGTTTTATGATGTGAAAAATTTCAGCTGTGTTTGCTCATAAAAAGGCACACTGATATTTAAGAAAATACCTCTCCGGTAAGATTACCAATATAAATTAATTACATTTCCATCGGTTGTGTTATCACGATAAAGTTTCATGGAAAACAATGAAAGAAAATCACCAATGGTCATGGAAAACTGAAATGGATTAAATTGACTAACCACGACTTAGAAATATGTAACATTCACTGCAAATAATAATGTCATTAATACCAATAAAATCAAAAGGTACTTCTATAATTTATATCATTCAGGCGTTACAACCATGTATTGGTAACATAACAGGCATACCAGTTGTCCACATAAATGTTTTGGGGTACTAGTAATTGTAGGTTGTACACTAGTTATTATACTGTTTTCTATAAAACATATCCTGGGGAGACATAAAATGGTTGCGTCATCATGTTCAGTGTAGCACCGGAATATGAACTAGAACCTTTATTGACATCATTTCGTTCCTGTTACGGTTTATGTGTTTATATTCATCTATAAAAACAAACAAGTGTATCACTTATGTTTTACGTCCGTGCACGAAACTGTCTTGCGATTGATATATTGGATATATAGATGTTCCATTCAGTTTTCACATCGTCAAAGATGTGCATGCATGAATATTCAAAATTAATTTGTATTCTTGGACCATCGGCATATCATCAACGCCGCTATCTTTACTGTGTGTTTTATGTCGTCATTCTGACGTCCCCACAGATCCATAGTAGGTATTGAAGCCTTGAATGCACAAACAAATATATTACATCATTATCTCGTGATGAATGGTAATTTTCGACCACACACTTGTGTTGACATAACTTGAAATGTACAGGACATGTCAGCCACTAATCATATTAATGCAATGCAAATGATAATTACAGCAACGAGATGCAATTTGAACGTACATGTAACTCAAATAAATGCCCTTTTGCTAAGACAATGGTTCCAATATGGTTTGTTTTATAAAAAGCAAAACTGATGAATATAATCTCGATTAAGATATTATTATACTTATGTAAACTTCAGGACATTCATGAAATTGTAGACTTAGTGACGACACATATGTACAATTAAAACCTTTGATTTTATTCCACAAACCTAGAGTGTTAGTTATTCAGGAGGTTGGTCTTTAAATACCACGTTACCACGGTTAGGTTTGGTGATGGCTATTTCGTCAAAACAGTTTCAGCATCAAAGTTGACAGCCACTTAGTTTGTATGTAAATGCCAATACATAGTTTCTATAATTGTTCAGGTATGTGCATACAACGAAATACATTCTCACTGGCAGACAAAATAATGAAGTGTGTATGTTTTTCATTAGCTCTTTTTCTCATCGAAGAACAATAATGCATACTGTTTTATTTGTAGATGCTATCTGTAGATGATCATAGAGATACACTTGATTTACATAAAGTAATTTTCAAAAACAAAATTGATAAAACTAGGTCAGACTATGAACAATGGAATTAATAACGCGGACTAACTGTGCGAAGGTACATTATCGGGTATTAAGGACCGATACGTGATATATCAAGGCACATTTTATTATTTTTACATAGTAAAAACAACGTAAGTGATTTTTTTCGCCAATATGTCTGACATAGGTTTGTATGCATACGTTGAAAAATACAATTTAACTTCTTGGTTGAAAGAGATGATTGAATGACAGCCACAGAAAATTAAAATACCTAATAGATTTGTGTAATTTACAATAAAAAGATAAAAATGAAGGCAGAGGGAAGGAAGGAAAGAAAGGAAAACGATCAAAATATGAATCAAATATAAAATATATCAAACATTAAGGCTGCAACCAAGCAATAGTAGATTAATAAAAAGAACCAACCTTTTATCAAACAAGACGTGAATAAATAAAAGAAAAAATATTCAATAGCAACGCACGTTTGTTTTAAATTCAGTATAAATCATAGAGAAGCGTTTTCAAGGTCGACAAATGAGTTAATTACTGCTGATTTACATTCATTTTCGCTGTTAGAGGATGTTAACTGCATACGAGTAAATGATTGGTTCTATACTTACATATATCATCGCATGCATTACAATAGACCCAGAAATCTAACAGCACAGCGTAACATATAGTCATGGATTTTACGATTTGCACCAGACAAGAATTCTTTTGAACCTAACCAGCTGAGATATGACCTAATTCAATCCAGGTTTGTGTAAAAGCAAAATACATCTTGTTTTATTCTCAGGAATAATTCGAAAAGCTCATTAATTCACCTAGAAAATTAGACGCATCTTCGCTGGAAACACGTGTTCGTTAGTAAGGAAAACCTGCATTTATCATGGCATATGCTCGCAAGTACACAGACAGGAAGGGTCTGATGTATGTATGCTCACGATACCGGGTAAACCAACAGACTGACTATCACCAATGCACTCCCAGTAATGAGAGTCTGCAGATAAATGATAGTGTTCTGATTGATTTATAGACACATCTCGGAATATTCTGTCAAACTAAAACAGATCCAGTGCTAATGATAAGTGACAAATGGATAGCTCTGACTATTGCGAGAGGTTCGCGTATGTATGGATTACCTATTGGGCGGGGTTTAATGTATGGTTGCACTTTTGAAACGTTTCTAATGAGGTTGACCTACATTTTCGGGAAAACAGATGTACATGTATTAAAACTTCACAATAGAGTTTCATCAATCTGTACCGTCTCTACAGACAATAATACCTAGGCCAAAAGTGACTCGCAAGATGACTTTAAAATAATAAGTGATCAATTAATTATGTTTCACCTCTCAAGCCTGTGATGTATTATGTTATTTAAAAACACATCCTTAGTTTGTCTAAGCGAGTCATGCAATGCACGCGACACCTGTCGTAATATGAAAACAATTCCGAAGAGTACTCTGGTGTGTATAAGATTATGATTTATAATGTATTATTAATTATCTTTTGCATTAGTAGGTGTCAGTTGCAATTAGTAGACTAGACTTTGTGCACATCGACGCCGTAGGTGTATGGAAAATGATTCTTCAAAGTGGATCCAATTAACTGTTTTCGACAATTTTATACACACATTGAAAAAAGCTGATCGTGTGCACTCATATTGTCGACGATAGATATAATGTTCATACATACATAATTATAGGTCGTCAAAGAAACACGTGACATTATTTATCTAAATGTCTAGGGTTGGGTCAATGTGATGTAACTTTGAACGTCCTATAGCTTGTGCCTCAAGCTACTCAATTAACTCATTGGCTTTGCCGCAAAGAAATCATTAAGGAATATGCTTAAGTTGTGATGTAGACTAATCTAGCTGCTTATGAACCCTATGACACGTGTGCGCTCGTTTTATATATCTTTATCATTAGGTGTGTTGGCGAGGTTACAAAGATAAGCAACAGGTGACAAAGAGTTGAAGGAGGTACAAACTACCAAGGATAGTATTCCTATGTCATCAGATCCTGAAGTCAATTGCTATTCGCCTTGTACGGTGTCGTAGAATACCAAGCTGAATGGCTACAACCCTCAGGTGTGTTATCGTACTCAAAGCGCTTTAGACGAATTTTTGGTGAAAAGTGTATTCTTTTCAATCATACAATAGCATCGTCAAAGTCAGAAAATGAATCACCAAGCTGTGGACAGACAAAAGAAGTTCAAGACACGTGACACTCCTCGTATTGGAACACATAATGTAAATGCATAGTTGAATGGCAAGTCTTGTGACTTTTCAGGCATTCATAATGATTAGGATTACAGTATCTAAATTATATATCACATAACCTGATCTTGAAAATCGGAAAACATTACAAACGAAGTCATACAAGGAATAGTAGAGAATCAAGCAAACTACACATCTACGGAAGGCTAAAACAGAAATAATCTGAGTTAAAAATGAGCCTTAGTTATGAAACTTGCACATGCATGTTTTCCGGAAATCAAGTTTTCGTTGAGTTGATTGACGAATGCATCATATATTTATATGTGTTTTTAAACTGAGATTGACAGCCTATTTTTTAAGAATATTTAGTGTTTTCATCATGCAGACATGCAGACAGATAAACCAATATTATAAAGTGGGACTAATTATGTCAAAGAATGAAAAGTGTGTGTCTAAAGTGTACCATATGAAGAAATGCATCCCAAGGAAAGGCGCATATAAAGTCATCTTCAATACAACATCAACGTTACAAGTTTTCACCGTTTGTCTACATAAAACCCACGTATCACTATTTAGAAACCTACAGTGTTACATATACCTATCACTTTCTTATTATATATTGTACATCTGTTGTAATTTGACTGCCGCTTGCACTATATATAGATATATGTTATAAACATTTTCCCCAATACAAGACATTGGGGTAACTATTCCTAGCAGACCTACTAGAAATACCGAGCATGCTGACGGACCTTGGTATTAGTGAGAGCTCACGTGTCAGCGCGTGCACTAGTTGGTTGTGGTACGGAGCTATGGCTGCGGAACATGCGTGAATTTAGGCGCGTGCATTGCGCGTGGTTGATGACAGAGGTCTTTCAACGCATAGCGGTGTCAGTATCCCTGTTGTAATATACCCTCGCTCACACAGGAAGAAGTGTTCTGTATTAACCATAAACACCAATCATGAGACAAGGCAGTTCAGTATAAAAGACATGATATGTTAGGCGCTAGTAAAGAGTTGAATTTGTTTTATGTTTGTGTTTTTGATTATAATGGTAGTTTTAATCGATCGACTTTATTTTTAACCTGATATACATGTATAAGAGTAGTATGAAGTTGCAATTTGATATAGGTATTGTATTTGATATAACAATGCGTAAAACAAAACTACCAAGGTGACTGGTGCATATGCTTCAAGAGGTAATACTACATGTACTATACTTTGCTCTTGCTGTTTGTAT